TATATATATAATTATTATTATTACTTACGTCTTATTCTCATGCTTCATATATATACATTATATAGAAATAATCATATACGTATAAATAATTATCACATATATAATTTTTCTCTATCAAGTATAATAATAAATAGAAAGAAGAAAACGATTTTTGTTACCTATATAGATTAATTAAAGACGACTTTTACTATTAGCTTTCACGTTATATCTATTTTATAACGGGAGATTAAAATACATTTACGGTCTGCTTGTTAAACATTCATTTAACTGCATAAGACGAACGATAAATGATCTTGCCATGGTAATCTTACGAAGGATATTTCACCACCGCTATCGCTATCGGCGGTCTTATTTCACGCAAATTATGATCGGACTACAGCAGCTCCTTACAGCAGCGAAATATCGCGCATAACTATACAGGCTAAAAGTATCTATATTCTAAATCGAGCGTAATGCGACTGCAAGTCTCGATTTAATGAAGACGAATATACTGCGCAAGGTTTCAGTGGAACCGCGAATTAATTTCGATTATAAGTTTTCAAATTGGCATCTGGTGATGCTTATAAAACTATAATGTCTATAAAAGTGAAAAATGTAAATTGAAGAAAATAAGGCGATAATAAGATTAAATAAAAAAATTAAACATTAACATTAGAGTTAAATAATAACAATAATGAAATTGCAATAATAATTCTTAAAACTAAGATACGCATATCCCGACGCTTTGACAATGATGTTGTCTACAATTTTATAGTCGATCAAGTTTAAATGATAAAAACACATCTTAAATTTTGTGAAGACGATAAATATTTTTATCGACAAGAATGCCATGATTGTTTATTTGATAGAATTTCAGAAGTTTTCAATCTTTTCGTGCTCGTGTAATATCTAATTTAGCTTCAGCCAATGCTTTCCACGTTCTCCTTATGCTGTAGCGAGTGTTTATAAAAAAAAAAGCTTAGTCGAGAAGCATCTTCCAAGTTTGCTCCTGTTTCGAGAACGAGCGTAACTTGGAACGCAAGTTCGCAACTGAAATACGAGGTTCGTGTGATATTCTTTTTGTTAAAAACCGTGGTTGCCGAAGTTCGTGAAGTAATATGGAAGTAATAGCGAAGCTCTTCAGTTGATCTCGAACTTTTTAATTGAACTAGCTTATATAAACAGTTTGTTATGAGATTGACCTTGGATTTATTTTTTAATAAACAATGAAGCATGTAAATTTAAATTTATCTTGTAAGTACGATTATAAAAAAAAATTGTTTACTGTGCTTATTGTAATTATCTATACCTATTGCACAATAATTATTTACATTGATCCAGAGACAATTTTACAACTTACATGATGTAAATGTACAGTGAGTACAAAAAGTACAAAAATTCGTATAGAGAAAATATTTTTTCAAAAAACTTTATTTATCCAGCGAGAAATGAATCATCGAATTAATGTCAAATCGATACGATGATTTCAACACCAATTTGATGTCGATTTGACATTTAATTGACGATCATTTCTTGCTAGGTAATTAATAATTTATTTATAAAAAATAAACTAGACTGTATGTTTCTTAAAATTATGTATATCAAAAAGATGTGTATTAATTATAGAAAATATATCATATAAAAAATAATAATATAAAATTAAAAATTATATTGTTTGAATGTTCAAAAGTATTCGGACAGTCAAAACAAAGAAAATTTAGTTTCTAAAATCAGAAATACATGCGAAGCTGATTTGTTTATGTTAAAACAAAATGTATTTATTGTATGCAATTGTTAATTAATGTTTATTTTCTATAAATAATACTTTTTTTATAAAAAATTTCCTTGTACTAATACTTTTTGCACTCACTGTGTGTGTGTGTGTGTGTGTGTGTATTGTATGAGATTCTCTCTTTTCTCTTTAAATGTATAAATCAAGATATTAATATTTAAGCTCAGTATCTACGCAAATATCTAAGCTGATGTATATCGGGATAAAGTGGCGAACTATCAAAGTTTAATTGCATTTGCCTTCAGTAATGAGGGAAACTTATTTGTAAACTACTCATTTATAAACTACTTATTTAGGATATACTAATTAGTCATTCAAAGTTCGATAATTTTGATATTCCTTATTTTATTCATAATTGCGTTGCGGATATAATCGGAATTTTTATTACGAATGCAAAATCTTTATTATAAACGTCATTTCTCTCTTTTTCTCTCTCTCTCTCTCTCTCTCTCCTCCCCCTCTCTCTCTCTTTATAATCTCTCTCTCTGCTTACAAGACTCAAAACATTAGATGATGATTATATGTTATGTTTTTTATATCATTAATATTGTTTGAAAAATAATTATTTAAAATGTAAATAAATAAAATATTAACATGTACTACAAAATACGTACATGAATATTTAAAAAAATTAAATGATCAAATATATTTGAATAAGTAAAAAATGTAATAGTAAAGTAAAATCTTTTTTTTTTCAAGATTTTACATCTACATTAGTGTAGTTTTTTAAAATAAAATTAAATACATAAACATGTTTTTTTCTTTCAATTTATGGACAAATTAAAGCTTGCATCTATTTTGCAAATATTTTACGATATTAATTCTCGCGAACACGAGTTTAATTCAAAGTTGTATTTTCCCATGAATCAGCTGTAAGTATGATGAAATGGACGTTGTTAAATTGCGCGGGCGAAACAACCAAATCGAATAACGAATGCAATATTTGAATGCAAAAACTCACCAACAAGTAATATATCATAACATATATCATAGCAATATATGTATAAAAGTAAACATATACGTACATTGCATTTTCTCAGTACCGGAATAACGTTTTTCTGGTTCTAATTCAGGAATCACTCTAATTTGTGATAAACAAATTACATGTTCTGTTTTTTCATTTTAATTTTTAATTATATAATTAAATTTATTGTATTATTATTAATATGGAATATTATTGTCCAATAATAACAACAATAATAAAATAATTTCAAAAGAATTTAATATTATGAAAATAAAATAATCCCTACAGCTCAGCAATAAAATATTAAAATAAAATATTAAAATTCTTTTATATATATTAATTCTTGTAAAATTGTTTATTAAGCTGCAATAAAAAATCTAGGTCAGAAGGTCAGAGTTCAAGACTGTCCAATTGTACTGCTGTGAATTCAAAATGGAAGTAACAATAAAATAGTCGTATGTTGGGAAGACATTAAATTCATACGGTTTAGCAGGTTGAAAAGGTAGCGTGAAGTAAATTTGGATAACGGCCAAGTGATGATAAAACCAACAGTGCATCGTACTTGCGGTTGAGAAGGTCGAAGTTGAATAAACATTGGTGATACAAGTTTGAACAGAAAAAAAGAAAGCAATAATTTGGCAAAAAACAAGCCGCAATAAATTATAAAATCTTAATGAATCTAATATACATAAAAAAATATTAATTTCTATTAGAATTTTTTCTCGTATTTTTATTCGTATTAGAATACGTTTAGATAATTACTTAATAAAAAATTTTATTTTTCAATTAAAAGACTTAAGTATTAAGATTAAGATTTAGTATAATAGTATAAATATTATATATTAACTAATGAGATTTGTTGCAATAATAAAAATCGTCTAGGATTATTAATAACATTTCATGTGATAATTGTAATGAATTAAAATTATTATTCAAGTATTATTAGTAATACATAGTTATTCAATCTCTCTAATGTTATTTGTACTAAATTATTATTTATTTAATACTAGTTATATGTATCTAATGTATTTAATTTCTTTTCAATATATTAATTAAATCAGAGTTAAATTAAAGCAAGAACTAATATTATATAAACTATTTCTTAAGTTAAATTCTAGATTGCGTATATATATTGTGTGTACATGTTCGTGCACATATAAAATAAAAAATATTAAATATTAAGTTAAATAAAAAACATTTTATAAAATATTATGATATTTTATAGCATTGCATAAAGTAATTATACAATTATTATTTATCATATAATAATTTATAATCTATCTTATGTTTTAGGAGCAAGGTAGCGGCCGCTCTGCTAAATAAACATCTGCAGATCAATGGGATCTCGGCCGGTTTGACATCTCTGCCGACCGTGGACCAATCGTCGCCAGAGCCACAACAAGTGGCAGAAGAGCCGCCAATAACAAGTAGCAGTAAAATGAAAAGAGAGAGGAAGGCAGCTAGAACGCTCGGCATCATCATGTCAGCGTTTCTAGCTTGTTGGTTACCTTTCTTCCTATGGTAATGTATATTAGATATTATTTCTTTAAGTTTATTCATGAATATAGATTCAATTGAGATACAAATAGAATAATGAAATTTTAATATCAGTTTTATTTTTGTAATCTTTCTCTTTCTCTCTCCTTATACATTCGACACACACACACACACACACACACACACACACACACACATACACGCACGCACGCACGCACGCACGCATGCACACACACACACACATTCTATTAATTATAATCTTATAATCTCTATATTATAATCTTGTGTTTATTATTATTATAAAAAGAGATGAAAATGATTGATGTGAGCAAAAATCTGACAGAAAAAAGTTATAATTAGGAAAAAATCATTTTTAATTAATTTATTATTTATAGTTACAATTGATTTATTAAAACATTTACAAAATTGTGTTAAAAGAACTTTGCTTATTAACTAGGAAAGTTATTGTTTCACAAAATGTTACATAGAAAATATAATAATTTCTTTCGATATTTATTAAAATTCAGATTAAAGATTCAGAATTTGATTAATAATATAAAAAAGATGTAATCTGCATACGTGACGAAAATATTTTTTATCTGTGTATATCTCATGTAGAAAACATACTGTACAATCTGTTACGGTAATTAACATTACTTTCTCGCGCTAAATAGCGTGCAGTATGTTGGCTACATGTTCGCTTCGTGTTTGGTTCGTTAATTACGTGGGTGGAACGTATGTGAGATAAATCGTTGGCGTGACGTTGCGTTATCTTTGAGAGGATTCTTAAACGCTTTTAAAAGACACACGCATACTCACTGGAACTGATATAATTTTTTCAACTTTTTAAACCGTTTTAATTATCTTTATTATGTTAAATTAATTAAAAATCCTTAAATTAGCACTGCAAAAAGGAAGAAGATGATATTATACATCTTGTTTTATACATACATAGAAAAAACGACTGAAGTATTTAAAAATTTAGCTAGATAGAGATCTGAAAATAATATTATGAGACTAGTAAAATAATTATATGTAAGATGTTCAGTTTGATAACAAAGTCTTTTTGCTGCAAAAAGTTTTGGCATTCTAATTAATTAAGCGTTTTATAAAATTATTTTAATGTCAAAATTACATTCAGATCTGTGCATCCAGCTAAATTTTTAAATACTTCAGTAAAACTGTTTTTCCTATGTACTGTTATTTTAATACTGCTTATATTGGTTGTTAAGAAACAAAAGGAACCACTGATAGATGTTCTGTTTTACTTCGAATCCGATAAAAAGTTTGTCGAGAGAAATATTTCATATTTAGTAAAGCATTTTAAACAATGGCACGTTTCCGACGAAAGACTAGTCGTGAAACTCGATAATTAATTTTGAGCATAAATAGAACTACATGAGATGTAGGATGCGCGTGTAGGATGCTTCTTCATTTTGCCCCGTTTTGTGCAAATAACATGAAATGTAAAAAGTAAAAAAGAGGAGAAAAGAAAATATGTATACACCAACTGTTCGTTAATTGCTTAATATAGAGCGATCTTACTAACTCAATATATAAAAACTTTTTCAGGCGAAAAATATTTTTGTTGAATCACAAATATCAATATACTCGTATCAATAAAAATGTAAAGCAATGATAAATAAAAATAAAACAAGAATTTTTATATGTTGGTGCATATAATAAAAATGTGAAATTAAGTATCTTCATTTAAATCTAAATGATGTTCTTCACTAATAACGTTATAACATCACGTATCATCAATGAAGGAACCAATTAATTTTTTTTTTTTTGAAGAATCCATAATAGTGATTTTATAAAATTACTAATAATTTCATGAAATTATATGTGATTTTATAAAATTACAGATGATTATATAAAAAGACATTTCAAAATTACTTGTATTCATCAAGTTTCTATAGAATCCATCAGAGATTTTATATAATTATAGAAAATTAAGTATTTTTTCATCGTAATAAATATATTATAGAAAATGAATATATTATGAAAATTTTAGTAAGTGGATGATTGTGCATAGCAATATACAGAATTATTCGCAATTTCCGACATTTTATTTATATAATATATATATCATTTCCAAATTACTTAGGATTTTATATGCAAAGAATTTGAACATATACTGATGGACTTATATATGTACGCCGTCTTTCATGCATTTTCTTTGAACTATGAATTTTTTTGCTCAGTTCGAAATAAATTGCCTTTCAATCGAAAACATGGAAAAAGATTTATTACAACTTTTCGGTATCTGACATTTTCTAACAGTTTTCAACAAAACCTCTTATCCTTAAATTAAAAGACTATTATAAAATTCATTATAAAATCTACTAGGAATATAAAAAAAAATTTAATATAAGAAATATAATTTTTAATATATGATTTTATTATTATTTTAATAATAAATTTTATTATAATAAATATAAATTTTATCATATTGATGTATTCTTATGAAATTTAATTTTTCTAAAATTTATTTTCAAATGCTTGCAACTTAAAAGCAGTTTTACGTATTCCGATATGCTTTTAATAAAAAGAAAAATCAATTTAATTTTATCCAAAAATTACAGTTCGAAAGAAATGCAGTTAATAAGACATCCTACTTATTACGAAGAGTTTAGTACTAAATTAGTAATTATATCATATAATATAATATAAAGCAGTTATTTCTCAGTAATTTTTAATAGTATTATATATAACTTCTGAAATTAAATTTGAAATCTTCCTTTTAAAACACATGTATTATATATATGTACTTAATACGCGCGCACACACACACACATATGCTACACATATTAAGTGTACACTGGAAGTAGTTCTAGAGAAAATACGCATCAATCGAGATCAATCTAAAGAAATTGTCCATTTGAAGATTATTATCAAACGAAAGCAGATGGCCGAGAAATATTGCGCAGTGTCGCCTCAAAATTCCTAAGGGTGCACTAATGCGGAAAGGAGGTGAGAGTCGGTTGGTTGGACGGTTATATAGGAAGGCCGCGATCGATAGGGAAAAGTAGTGTATACCGCCGTGATCTCCGGAGATTTGCAACGGAGAGAGCTTGAGGGTTGTGTGCAGCCACCTCGAAGTGAAGAAAGGGTGGTTCCGGTGTGTGTCAAGTACTTCTCCTCGAGATATAACGCAGTGGCACAACGACATATCACAATAGACTTGTGACGACGAAGGATCGAAAGTCAGCCACTTCTAAATTTAACTTTTTAGTGCAAGGTTTTTTTCAATAAAATGTCAGATTTTATCAACGAAGGAACTGCTTAGGTTATATTCACGTGTATATATTCAAAATAAACAATTTTATATATGAAAATATTAAATATATACGTATTTATTTATCATAAAATTTATATTTAAATGTTTTTCATGTATAACATATACTATTAATTAATTTAATATCAATCAAAAATGTGAAACTTTACACATTTAGTATATACATAATGTGCATATACTTACGTATGTGTGTATGTGTATATCTTCTTTATATATTTAATATTTAATACTAATATTTAATGTGTTTACGCATCTTAGATAAGAAATATTTATATTTAAACTGAAAAATATGAATTTATGAATGTCTTTTCTGGTATCTCTCCAGTTTTCAAAAAATTTTTTTTTATTACGGACTTTTAGCGTACGAGATAAACATTAATTGCTCGTATTTAATGGATATAGATGGTTACATTGCTGTTTTATGAGGCACGATATATACTGTGCAGAATTTTGAAAAAAAAACATACAAACATTTATATCTATTGTAATCCAATTATATTTAATAAAAACCATTCATGTTGGAATATTGAATAAAAAATAGATTTTTTCTATTTTTTCTTATTTTATTAAATCATTAATCATTTTTACGGTTATATGTTCTTTTAATAAAAAGCAGAGAAATTTATAAATTTGAATTTAATTTCGAAATGTATAAAATAAAGTTTAATCTAATACAAGAGTGATAATCGAATATAGGAAAATTATGTTAATACTTAATATTTTTTAAAAAATTAATATGATAATAATATAGTCTAATAAATTTAGTATATAAGGAGCAGACTTTCAAAATGCGTTTTATCCAAAGTTTCATTTTTTAAATTAGAGGTTGCGTAGTGTTTAGTGAAAAGTACATATTAAGTAAAGTTCATATTATAAGTTACTCTGAGATGTTCAGAAAGCATTTTTTCATTAATTTGTATGCTGAAAAAACGTAGACATTTCGAAGTATACTATGTTTTTTAACTATAGACAAATAAAATGCATTTGTTATATATTATATTATTTTATATATACATAAGGATATAAAAACTGACATAAGAAATTGAATACGTAATTTTTTATTGATTAATATGAAAAATTAAATCAATAGTTTTATTAATCTTAAATAAATAAAATAATTATAGAAAAATAGGCTCGTGTAAATGCAACGCAATGAATTAAAATGTCAAGGCTTTTTATAAACGAGCAATTGTAGTTAACTAATAAAATTTGTCTTTACATATGTATAACTATAAATTTCAAACGTTTCAACTTACGAAGTCTTCGTCAGTGATAATAAAGTGTAAAATGTAAAGGTCAAAATAATAAATAAAATAATGATAATAAATAAAATAATAAATAAAATAATATTTTTTTACCCAAAAATTAGAACAATAACAATATCGGACCTCTCAAAATATGGACGCACTAAAGTATTTTTCCGTGTAATCACTTAGTGACTTCTTACGTCGGAAAAAATTCCTCACGGACGTCAAGGAAGTTTAATAATTCGAAAGAGGGAAAGCTGGAAAAGAGAAGCGCAATAGTCATGTTTCGCAATAATCTGAATCGATCCGAAAATCAGCTTTTAAGAGAAGAAAATCTAAAAATATTTCTATACTTGAGTTTAATCGACTTTCAACTGGTTTCATATTTCGAACCCTGTTGCACGTTTATATTCTTTTTGATTTTTCAAGTGACCCATGTCATAGTAACTTGCAGTATTTGCGATGTTTCAATATATCCTCGTCATTTTTTTATTAATATCCAACTATTTTGTATTAAATACGTATATATAAAATAATTTTTATAACCTTTTATCATTTCGAGTTAATAATTATAATGTACTTCAATATAAAATCTCTTATGTTATTAGTAAATATTATGGAATGTAACATTTTATACATTTTCTGTATTCTACATTTTTTTATAAATATTTTCTTTATTTTATGTTATTAATATTTATTACTATTCATAATTGCTATTACATTCGTTTAATGAAGATAAAGTGTGAGAAACGTTAGAATACACTATCGCGGTAATAACAGGTGGTATGTTGTCTCGGTGTACGCACTCGGAATATATCGAAGGGAAAACACAGGAAGAAATAGAACAATTTGTAGCTTTCGATTATTTGCCCGTTCAATTGTCATTACTCTGTTGTTGGTGATTCCAACAAGTTTCGCTCCGTTGGAAAAACAATGGATTTCTCGTCGCACGATTCCATTAGTATATCGCTGCTAAATTCACTGCATGGCTATCAATTTTCCTACATATTCGAGAATCGAATCTCTCTGTTCCCATTATTCGGCCGAATAATACAAGTCAATACTCTACTTCTCCCTCTCCCTCTTTGCCTGGCCTCATTACGGGACAAATCCTTGACCTACTTTTCCCATTCTTGCCTACCAAGCTTTTTCGATTCTATTTGCCGTCTGACACGTTTCAGGATGTCACTACTTGTACTGCGTGAATATTTTCTTAAGATAAATTGAATTTGTCAATGTAACAAAAATAGAAATAAATTTAAAAAAAATTTTAATTATACTTTAGAGTTTAGACGATTTACAGTATAACATAAAAATTCGGAAGAAAGATTTTATAATTTTATATTACATGTACTATTCATTTATAATAAATTTTGAAGCGAAATATTTTTCAACCGTTCCATTTACATACAATCTCTATATGATCTCGTGTATTATTACTGATTACAATCTATCGATCTAATGCAGAATTCATTACATAATTTTGAATAAATTAAGGTGTAGCTAAATTATTGCACAAAAAAAAGAAATCAAATATCGATTTGTGTAGCAATTATGTTGTACCAGCCTTTGTTAAAGAAAGAGAAACGCGAATAAAAGTTTTAAAGGAATTGAACGACGCAACGATCAATGGGAAATTATCTTGATATGTAAAGAACTTTAGCCATTCATATGGGTAGAAAGAAAGAAAGTTGACCTTAACCGATAGTCATTCTATTCTTAGTTAGTGCAGCTAATATGAAACACAGTTCGATTTATATTGATCAATGATGTAAAGACGCGTAAAAACATGACGGTATTATAGTGTTCTGTAGGAATAATATTTATTTTTCTTAATTAATTTATGTACTTTTCTACGAACATTTATAAAAAATTTTACAAAATTGATCTGCGCCTGGATTTCATATAATTAATAATTAATAAAAATAGAAAATGTTGAAAATAAAAATAGATACAAGAATATTATCTATTAAAAACCATATGTTTCAGAATCTTTTTAAAAATTCGATTAGATCTAGCTAACAAAATTACGTCAAAATGACGTCATTTTTTTCGGTAAACATCGTCAGTTACTTGTCATCGACGTCATTTAGATGTCGCTATGACGTGATTATGTCAAAGTCTATTGACATCATTATTGTTACGTCATAAAATGACATCGATAATTGATAAAAGTGACATTTATTAAGTTGATGTTATTTATTGTTATTTCGACATCAAAATGACGACAAATAATGTGAGCTTGTTTACTCGATTTTTAAATTATCAATAGCAGTACTTTATAAATCTAGTGACTTTATAATTAAGTAGCACAGCGCTTATAATACAGAGTTTACAATAGAAGTCGTAGCGGGCGTAGGTAGGGTTTTAAGTCGTAGAAAATTTATCAATCATAGTCGCTCTTATATTCTTCTCATATTGGACTATGATTGGTTAATTTTCTACGACTTAAGATCCTATAATGACCGCTATGACTTTTATTATAAACCCCGCACAAAGCGCTAATAAAGTGCTTATATATATTTTTAGTGCTTTTTTAGTGCTTTGTAGGCGCTGTGTATTATGTACTTGGAAATAAAGCTTTAGATACACCAAAGTATCGCAAACGTTCTTCATCTTTGATTTAATAACCATAGCACATTAAAGTGCAATGCTTTTTTTCTTACTCGAAAATTTTATTCGAAATATATAGCATATATACGTTATGTATATTACAATATTGAGTAAAATTGTCCTCGGAGAGGAATATAGCCCTAATATACAAGAACATTTGATGGATATTCGCGTCAAATGATTGAGCCTCATTTCATCAACATCGGAAGTGTGAAGGTTCATCTTAAGATTTACTTAGAAAAATAGTTATATACATCAAATCAATTTTATATATATTTTTTATTGAGAAATAATAATAATAATAATAAAATAAAACAATACTAAAGAATTGTATAAAATCTCATTTGCACTATTTCATGTCAAAATTTAGGCATATAAATAGCGTCCACATATATGTAAAATTTTAAATAAAATTTCAGGAATATAGAGATATAGCCTGCTGTCCAAAGTTATTTGGCATTTATTGAAATTTTCCATTTCTTCGATTGAAAAGAGACCCGGAAATGAAAAAGTTCTAAGTAGATTCCTAGTAGATTTAGAGCGGATTCTGAAATAGATTTTATTTTTAGTTTTGTGGAATTGTGGCATTTTAACATTGAGCGATTCAATACAGTTATTTCTACATTATTTGCCTCCTTTCAAATCGATAAAAGGGGAAGAGAAATCGTATAACAATGCGATTCAAGAAAGATCGCGACGAGGGGCAGAATCGTCCTCCTCTGCAAGCCTGTAAATCCATTCTTCTCTTGTCGATGGAAACAATTTTGACGTCAGGTGCATGTAGGTCATATCGACAGAAAATGAGATACTTCGTCTCTTTCTTTCCGCTACAATATATAAATCATTGCGAATGTACTGTGTTTTCCACCTACATTGTACGCGTTTGTATAATTATAAAATAAAACATATTCTTTTTTATTTTTATATTATTATATTTTATTTGATATTTAATTACATTATAAATGTTATTATAATGTCATACGACAAATCATAATGATATTTATCGACACATAATTATATAATATATAATTTTATATCGATAAATACAGTTCTCTCTCTTTCTCTCTCTCAATATATTTAACAATAAATGTATCATATAAGACACACACACACACACACACACACAAAGAAAGGAGCAATTTTTTCACAAAGCACCTATTATGTGATCTGATTATATAGTAATATTTATTGTAGATTTAAGTACTGATTAAAATATATTGTATAATCTTCCTCGTATTCTACTATCTTTATTGAACTAATTTATATTTATAAATTTTTCTTAATTAAAAAAAATTTTAGTTATATACATAGTAGATTTATTGCATAACATATATATACGTTAATAAACTAAAGAAAATTTTATTTGATACAAACGAATAAAATTCTAAGAATACTACAATTTTGCTTTATATTTATTTCAATGCATTAACATTATAAATGTCTGTTTGATATAGGTATATCATCACTGCTCTATGCGACTCGTGCGAGAGCGGCGAAGTGGTGGTAGCGGTGGTGTTCTGGGTAGGCTATTTCAACAGCGCTTTGAATCCGTTGATCTACGCTTATTTCAATCGCGAGTTTCGCGCAGCCTTTCGTAAAACCCTCGAAAGCTGTTGTCGTGCGATCGGACCGGTGCGCGATCTGCGCCAAGTGCATCGCAAACAGGACCTCGTGCACAGCAACGCCTCGTCCGAGTTGCATGTCAACAATCAGTTGCGCAATAGCGAGATGACCAACGTCCATATTGAGGCGTGTATTTAAATGAATCACGCGATCCGGTGAGGTGAAAGTAACGGCGAAATCTTCGGAGCGCCTTCTGAATAGAATAAAATAGGTAAGACCGGAGCGGCAGGTAGTATTGATAAATCTCAAAAATAACAATCACACGCAGATAAAAAAATTAATTTCTTTCTTTTTCTATATACAAAAATGTTTAACAACTCGATAGTTATCATATAAGAAAAAATATATTAAAAATTCAATTTAAAAAAAAATTTTTATGTCGACAAAAAAATAATTGAAATTTTTGATCAATTTAATATTATGGAGATATTGGTATTCACTATTGCCTTTTATCTATGTCTTATTTTTATTGTCTTCTCTAATTATCTTTTTGAAATAAAGTTTGAAAAAGATATTCAGGGATATATAATAAAATATAAAAAAGAGTAAAAAAGCATTTTAAAGAATTTATTATTGAAACTAAGACTGTGGCACGCAAAGAATTTATCATTAAAATTAAGATTGTTCTAAATTCATCAAAGAAGTCAAGTAATTAAAGCTAAGGTCATAAAGGTACGCAACATCATATATTTGCATCAAGCATTCGCAAATACCAAATACGATTTGCAAGAGAGAAATGTATAGTCCCAAAGAGAGTGTGAATAGAGTATGTGCGCCATACTCGTGCCTATTTTGTCCTGCTGCCGACCTATTTTAAGGGACACGTTCACCACTCGTCCCCAAGGGTCTATTTCTGTCACGGCAGCGTTCCATCAGGTCCGTAAATAAGGCTCCTGTCCGTTGGCAGATTGATGTTCCGATTCAGCAGTAATATTTTAGCGGTGGTCCGATAACGTCGAAATGAACTTTCCAACTAACATTTGATTCGTGCGCGAACTTATATTTTACTCGTGATTGACATCATATGTCTATCTTTGCAACAAATTAAATTTCTGTTCATCTGAAATTGAACAAATAATATAGTGAACACCAATACAATACTATAATGAATTATAAATATATAATAAGTTAGCAAGGTTAAACTTAAGTTAAACTTTTGAAATTTGTGTATAAAAAGGTCATTATTTTTCATTCCATTATTTTTACTTTTAATTACTTATACATTTTTTATTAGATTAGCTGAAAAATTAATCTGTAAAATTAAAAGTTATACGTGTGCTTAAAAAAAGATTTTTTTTCTTAAAAGAGAAATTGGTTTAAAATTAATCGAATAATTTATGAGAAAGCATGAGGATTAATTAAAAGGATCTGATGGTTTGAGGTATTTCTGACGCTGTCTCGTGATTGGAGGAGAAACAAAAGGAATAACAAAAAGACCAAAGAAAAGGGTTGAAAGGCGGGAGAGGTAGCCGTTCTACTCGTTTAGGGATCACTTTGTACATAATTGCGCTACAACAGCGCGTTTCGTTATAATCAAAGGGATTTATAATAACGAGCTCTTAACGTTAAACGAGGTAAATTGTAAATACGAATCTGCGTTCGTTTAGGAATAACTTCGTGTATAAATGTTAAAGCGTATCATCCCTCCCGCAAGACAAATCATTTTATCGAAATAGATAAATTTATGAGGGCATCTTAATAAAGAGAAATACTAAAATGCCAAAGATGAAACAGAATATATAATATATATATATATATATACACACACACACACACAGTATATTTATATGTACAGCAATAAGACATAAGAATGTTAATAATGTTCCATTATTCGTTAATTGTGTAATATATATTATAAATATATATATTATATATTTATTATAATTTATTGTTTATTGTTTATTATAATTAATTTAACAAATATTTGATTCTAATTTGAGAGTGAATTGAATCAATTTTTACCTTTAGAAACGTTTGAAAGGAGTAGAGGAATGTGAGTTATTTTCATTGATATGTTATGTGTCGCCTACTTAATTATTTGTTTAGAACCCTTGTGCAAGTCTTAGAAAATAATGAAGTCATCGAAATTATATGGATCATTTATCTTAAAAAAAACTTTATATTTATGAAAATTCTTATTTTTTAGGAGAATAATAGGTCTACTTTAGAAACAATATTATTCAATAGTAAAATCATTATTTTATTTATAATACTGCCAAATGTTTTTTTATCTTTAATAAGATTTTTGACATATGGCAGCGTTAATAATGAACAAATTAATAATAAAAGGATATATAATAATACATAATTTTATGTATTATTTAATTTTACTATAAATATGTTACATCTCAAATGAGGTGATAATAAAATATGTAATAGAATATTTTATCGATTAATCGATAAAATATTCTATTACATATTTTATTATCATCTCATTCGAGATGTCTGTATCGGTGCGTATGAATAAAATAGGCATAATATAATATATTTCTAAATATTTTTTTTAAATAAAACTTTCTTTTTAATTAATTTGCTCTATTATCAGATGGAATACATTTTGGAAAAAATTGATGATCACAAAGTGATCACGAAACAATTAATCAATTTTACAAAGATTTAATTGATATTTCAGTTTTTCTCTTTGTTTCTTCTATTAGCTTTCTTATATCATCGGCTGACAGATCAAAGAAAATAGTATACGTATATAGTTATGTATACTTCAGAATGCAGAACAATCACTAACGTAAATACGGTCGAGCGTGGACGATATCGTGAACGTTTTTTTTGCTACGATTACAAATTAATAAAAATTCAAATTATATAGCACAGTTCCCAATAACTTAAATAAGTTTAATTTCGAATACTGTAGAAAAATGAGAGAGAAAGAGAGAGAAATTTATAAAAAAATTTGAAAAAAGTAAACCTATAAATTATAAGGCTTATTTAATTTTAAATATAATATTTTAATATAAAATAATATTTAGAAAAAGAGAGAAGTTAAAAAAATTTCAATTTTGGCAGTAGGTAGAATATATTGTATATTTTTGTTTCAATAAAAATTGATTTCATACACAAAAGATTGATGTAAATTTCAACTTTATCTAATTTATAATTTTTACATATACTTTAATTTCGTATCTCTTCCTTCTATTGAATGAATGCAAAAATTCATGCCTAATTTATTATTCAAAATTCAAATAGTTGCTATATTTTTGTTAAATATAAAATAAAATCTAAATCTTACTCTATCTGATGAGATAATTTATGAATCTATTGTTTTAAATTTTAAATCATGATGGTTTTAATAGAATTATGAGCAAAGTTAGGATATTCTTTTTATTTAATCCGTAACAATTCAGTAACCAAAAAATCGTAGGGACATTTTTAAAAACAATTTTATTTAGGGAAACCTTTAAGCTGTTATATTAGAAATTTAAAAATTGCAAATTTTTTTGGACATGTAAGGTTCACAAAGTGAAAAAAAAATTTCCCGTTTTATTTAACTCGTAGTTTTCTATATGTGAAAATTACTCATATAAATTAAAAAAAAAATAATCATTCGAAAGTAGAAATTTCAAGCTTTAAAATTCTTTTTTTAAATTTAAATTTTGTTTATTTTTAACATAATTGCAGCTGTTTGAACTTTGAATAAGAAATCGAACACAAATTTTTGCACTTACTCAATATATATATATTTACGAGGAACGAATTACGGGATACGAAATCGTTCACCGGCTCGATCTGTTCGTATATCACGTATCTGTTAGGCTACATATAAAAGCGGTTAGTGGCCTCCTAATGTAATGTAATGTGCAACATTGTAAATCGATGTTTACGAGGCGTTTCTGACGTTAAAGCGGTTTTGCGAATAATCAAATTGGCAAAGCAGTTTTATTGTAGGAGAAAAAAAGGAAGTAAAACCGATTTCAGATGATTTATAATTTGCGAAAGGGTTACGAAAAAATTTCAAGTATTAAAAAAACAAAACAAAAGAGTAAAAATGTACATATAAATTTATATATACGATATCTTGAATTATTAATCGTCTGAAATAGGCCATAGACAAAAAGACATTCTCAATGGAAAAGAAACACTTAGTATTTTAATGACAATAGCGTGAATGAAAAAAATTTATTGTTCGTTTTATAGGCGCATAATTTCCATAAACTTTAGATTGACATCAAGAACGTTTCGTGGTTATCTTGAATGCATGATCACATTGCGGAATTTACAGGTTGCGTAACTATATTTACTGCAGTGTGTGTGGTTTCATGGATCGTGATACGTAACGAAGAGGCTAATTTGCTACGAGATTGTCACATGCGACTAATTTGCAGCAAATATTGCTAGATATTAGAGAAATTAATATTATTATAAAATATAGGTATATTTATTTTCTCATAAATGAACGTCTTTATTCGTATTTTCATGTAATAATTTCAATAATTTATCATTTCTATTTCTTATTTCAGGACATGAATAATCATTTATTAATTTAATGAAATAATTAATTAACAACATATGTTTTAAATACATATAATTATTAATTATCAATAATCAATAATCAATTTTTACTGTACCTGAAACAAAATCAATCCGAAAGTATACTTATATAAATGTATTTTCTTTAACTGTACATACACATATAGTCTTCTAAAAAATTTATAATTTTATTATTATATATACATACAAATACATAAAACTTGTTATTATTAATGATAAAAATATTTTTTAATTTTATATTTTCTTTGAAATATTTATTACATATTTATTTATTATTAATTAACATTTAATAATTACGTATATTAATTAACAGTTATATCATTAATTTAATTAAAAGTTTGCTATGCATCCGCCACAATAAGAGCCTAATTCGTGATATATTTGCAAAATATTGCAAATAGCATTTTCATGCCATGACGAAAGAATACGTATGTATGTGTATGAAACAAGATCTTCATGTATCGTATGGTTACAGAACGCGAATGTATAGACTATGGAGATGTGCTGGATCTACTGTGTAGAAAATTAATAACAATGTTTTAAAGAAACATGCTTTTCTTTTGATTCCTATTTACCTTTAATAAATTTACCATTGTATTTTGTTTCCTGTGAAATTTCTGTATAGGAATAAATTCCTTTTCCACTTAACAGAAGACTTAAAATAACAGATTTAATTACATTTTTGTTTAAAATGAGTTTATGTTTTTTAAAACATTGAAATAGTTCTAATTAAATTTTAATCTTCTACAGTGCTTCTACGTTGTGCAAGCTGTTTTCTTCAGAA